ATAAGGCTATTAAGATGTGTCACACTAGCTTCTGCAGCCTACACTAGAGGCCAGAATTTTAGAAATCATTTGGAAAACGTGTATTTTTAAAATCTAATGGCTCACACACAACACCACTTGTTTTGGAATAATGGAAAGATAATTTAATTAAGATTGTAATGTAAACATTTATGTAGGATTTTTTTATTAGAACAGCAGTTATAAAGAAAAAACTGAATACCTAGAGAAAACAAAATACATAAAATTTCTCACCATGACAATTAATAGTGGCTTGGGTAACCCACAGCCTGAATCCCACCCTTACAATGCCTTCCCATGGAGTTAACCAAGATTATGAGCTCTGCACCTGTTATAATGTTAAACCAAAATTAAATTATTGTACCAAATAAGTCGATTTTATTGCTGAGTTGTTTCTGCCTAATAAGTTTCTTTAGTTGATGCCACAAACATTCAACAAGGTTAAGGTCTGAGCTTATTCCCAAGCCATTCCTGTGGTGAAATATGATTATCTTAAAACCGCTTCTACACAGCAACAACATTACATAAAGTTCACTACTGTTGAAATATAAATGCTTCATTGTCTTGGAAAAGATCACATACAGAAGGTTTCAGTTTTGACTTAAGTATTTCTTTTATGTATATTTGGGCATTTATATTTGAATATTACCACACATATTTTAGTCACAACTTTTGATGCCATACAAACCGAAGATCACAGCACTTATCATACTATATACTGATGGCATAAAGTATGTATTAAGAATCTCAGAATATTTGTAATCAGGATGCAGAAGTATTCCAATTCTTCTCCTTATGTTAAGGTTTCCAAAATTTTGGTCATTAATTAAGTCTGCAGCATACATTTTAAATTCTGCAGCTGAAACTAGTACTATAAGCATAGATTTGGTGTTATTATATGCAATTCAATCGCTTTCTAACAGCCAGGTTAGTCAACAATGAGCCTGATCATCAACGCCTTGTACGATGCATTATCTGATCGCAAATATCTTGAGTTATTGTATTTCAACAATAAACTCATGATAGGTTTGCAGACCTTTGTTATTTCAGAAGTAAAATGACTTACCCATCTTTTAAAGACAGTTAGTCAATTAACATAATTTCTCCGGTTGCCATATTTACCAATTTTAATTAGTTGCAAAAATCTTAAGGATGGGTATTTTGTAGCTTGAGTTACATTTAAGTATGCTACATTCTGTTCCAGAAGTTTCACAAGCGTACTTCCCAAAAATGCTGTTTTAAAAGATTTAAGTAAATCAATGAACTATCAATATATATATATATATATACTGAATTAAAAACTTAATGCTTACAACTAAAAGCGATATTGTCATTCTGCTTTGCTAGCATTTGTTCTAGAAAGCCAATCGTTTCCTTTATAGGTACTAATCACAACAAAATGTGTTTATAAATCAAAGATCACGATTTTTCTGACCTTGATCTAAGTTTACAAAAATTATGTTTGTCCAACAAGAGCAGATATGCATTTAATATGCTAGCATAAAATAACAAAAACCAGTGTATGATTTTCTATCCAAAGAAGACTGCTTTAATGATTTGGTATGTTTTTGTACTTTTGCACTGAAATTTTTTAATTAATATTCAAGAATAAAATTATCATTAAATTTAAATTAGATATTTTATATTTTCTACCTCTCTTTATGTGGGTAAAGACAGAAAATAAAATTTAATTCTTAAATTACTCACAATGATAATTCTCTCTTACTGTACTAGTGCCACAATATAAGACATTTAATTCTTAAATTACTCACAATGATAATTCTCTCTTACTGTACTAGTGCCACAATATAAGACAATCTGAATTTTTCTTGAGCGTTTTCTCGGAATAAATAAAGGTGTGCTTATAATAATCCTCACAAATGTATAATCTTGATATTCTAAAGCATTGTTACATGAAGAATTAAATGATTTAAATATCATACACACCTTAAAATAAACTAAGTAAATGTGTTTTCTTAACTCTTAAAATACCTTCACACATGTTTTTAAATGACTTGCAGCTTTCACAGAAATGCCTTTTAATAAAAATATATTTTTTTTTATTATGTTTCTAAGACATTAGACATGTTTAAATAGATAAGTGCTATTTTTGCTATCATTGAGAATATAGTATAATAAAAGGTACAAGTAGTAAAGTTGAAAAAAAAAATCATTCAATAAAAAGACTGTGCACTTACAGAAAAATCATAAACATACCCCAAAGAAAAGAAACAGTGAAATTAAGTCCCTCTTTTTTATCTACCACAATATTTCTAAAAAATAAAACTTTTTCAAAGGAATATACAGTTTCTACAACTGATGTCCAAAATATATAGATTTGCATTACACAAAATGTTTATTTGCTTCTGTATTCTAAAAAATAAAACAGAAAATTTGAAAGCAGAGATTATAACAGAATGCATAGATCTACAAACTCATCACCTGAAATACTGTAAAATTACTAGCAGTTCTAAAAACAAAATTTGATCTTTAAAATTATTTGATTATTCCAAGAGAAACATGTTAGCAATTCATCTTAAGATCCCAGGTCTAGCAACATTCTATAAAGTAGAATGCTACACATCTCAGAAATTTAATAAGATCAACATTCAGATATTATTTAAACTAGCATTCAAAAATTATGGACTGGATATATGAATCCAGTGTTAACTACTAGTCAAACGAAATTAAAATGCTTTCTAATTAAGCATAAAAGAAATACAGAATTTTGAAATATTTTCATTCCCTGAAATTTTCAAACCAGCTTCCCATCCTGAAGATAGAAATGCACTCACAAAGAACTCTAAACAAACTACACACAGAGAAAATATTATCAAATTACTACTCTTACGAAATTAAATTATTTTAGAAATTGAAATTGTAAGTACCAAGAACATGATGGCATAGAATTTATTTTATTTAATAAAATAATGAGTTAGCAACTCCATAGAGGTTTAATTATTCTTTTTGCCCCATATACGACAAACTGGTCAAAATACAAAAATAAATCATTATGACTACTGTTGCACCTGAAACTCAGTGCCCCTCCCAAAGAGAAATAAAAAATAAAAAAAAGCAAAGGGTTGTCCAGTCAGCTAAAAACAGTACTCTAAAATTTATTTCAGTTATTTTTCAATTGTAGCAATGATTATTTTCATTATCACAATTTTTCAGCTCTAGCAAATGATTTGAATGAATCATATTTATTGGTAAGAATTCCATTGCTTCTAACAGCCTATAATGTAGAAGACCAATCTTAAATTCACAAATATTATTATGCAAAATACGCTTTGAACAAATTTTTCAATCACCTATCTATACTAGCAAGAGTTTAAAAAAATAAACTGTATAAACAAACGTTAACATTCATTCACTTTTACAATGCTAAAAGATTATAAAACATTTAATTTCGGACTACCAAAAATAACAAACATTTATTTAATTCAAAATATTTCAGATTTACTGAAAAAGGATAACTGCTAGCTTTTCTTTTTACAATAGAATTACTATATAAATTATTTTACACTATACAATTTCAGTTTTTTACCCATCATTTCCTTCCACAAATCTAAATATACCCTTCCTTAGAATTATGTTACAAAGATATTTATTTTTTAATTAAATGGAGTAGAATAAATTAGAAAGCAAGTAGAAAATAATTTACAGTCTTTTCAGAAACAAATAAAAGAATCAATAAATTAAATTTCTTCTTCTCTTTGAAACAAATACAAATTTTTCTTGGATGTACAAATCTTGGATTTAGAATCTGATGTCACATAGCTGTCACTGCTTTTTTGTCCGAAAATTTGATCCACCTAGAACACATGCACGGTAAGAATATTTGCATCTGAAAGCATAGTTTTACCTATTGCTCCTCATTTGATATAATTTTAATTCTACCCCCTTATCCTAAAAATTTGCCTTTCTCAGCATGGAAAAAAAGCCTCATTTTCATTCTATAAAATAATCCTCAACATCTGATATAATTTCATTGCACTGTAATACAAGCTTGCTTTGTAGCAATGTTAATCAGAAACTACGATTTGAAACAAATGCATTTTAACATTTTTATATGAATATGCATAATGTGGCAAAATCGGTTAAACTTCCCAATTTAAATTACTTTAAAAATTAACTCAAAATAGTCAAAAGAAAGAGACTAAGAACTATACAGATTAGCAACTTATATTAATGATACAAAGCTTATTTATCTCTAACATTATAAATTTGAAATATGCATTTAAAATATATTAACTTTAAGTAAAGAATGCAACCTAAATTATAAAACAGTAAAACCATACAAAAACAGTATTTCAAATATCATAATTGCCATATATGAAGCATGCTTCACATTGATTCTATTGACATTTTTTACTGGAAATTCTATCAAAATTATTTAAGAAAAAATAATTCTGTTTACTTCTCTTCTTTCATACACTGAAAATAACTTCAAACAACTATAACGAAGGAATCTACTTATTACAGCTAAGCATATAAATGGAAATAATCAAACATACTGGAAATATCAGAACGAATACTCAACTAAAACAGAAACTAGCATAATTTTGGAATCATATAGATAGTCTCATGTCTAATCATTTAATAAAGTCTTCTACAAAGACCCTTAGGTAGACTGCTATCAAGAGCTTTTTAATACAAAGTAAATTAAGTTTTAAAAATGATCATTATTTTTTTTTTAATTTATAAATTATAACTGTCTTGTGAAAGTTATCTGACAAGCAACACAGACAACAAGAGAGCTGAACTCTGGATAATCTATAACAAACTAGAATCATATTTTCGAAATATAAAACTTCACAATTTTAGAGGCCTTTTTTATTGTATGTTGCATTCAAAACACACTTCATATATACTCAGTATTTCAATAACAGAAATCAGATATTCTTGAATTATTTTAAATCTACATCACTTACATATTTACAAGAATATTAGGTTCCTACAGGATAAGAAAAACAACCTCAATCAATTCCCAATCATTTTATTTTTAGGAAATTACAATTATATATAAGCTCAGTATAGTAATATTTTCAATGTAAAATAAAACAATAATACTGCAATATATTCAGCTCAGGAAATTTCTTCTGAATACAAGTGAAATTAACTATAATATTGTCAAGGAACAAGTCATATGTACATGTAAACAAAGGCAAATCATACATTCAAAGGTGTTAATGACCAGGAAAGCCAGGCATTGGAAATGCAGATGCAAACTTTTCAACATCACTGCGCAATGACTTTATCTTAGCTTTTATGTCATCATCAGTTTCAAGATAGGCTTTAAATTCTTTGACAGTTTTACCTAAATAAAATCAGTATTTAAAACAGTTCAAATACAAACATAGCTAATTTTAAATTAAAATAAAAATGACAAAAATCAGTTGTATGTTGAAAGGGGGGAAATAATATTTTACAAATTATTAAATTAAACTTTTGTACCTAATATATACATATACTACCTGACAAATGGCAATTAATGTGCATGCATGGTTTTCATGCACAATTTTTATAAAAGATATGAAAAGCAATTAGACTCACTCGCACTTACAAGAAAACCTATTTAACAAATTGATTATCATGGAAAGAATTCCAAAAACTTGAAATTTAAAACATTTTCATTTAAACACCTATTTTACATATTTACTTGTAATTCATTACTGTAATATAATTCATAAGAAGCAGACAATCTCACAGTTAAGTATATGATATAAAGCTGTTTGTGAGTGTATTATTTTTGCCCAGTGCATGTGAGAATGTCAGCTCTTCCAGTACAAGAATAAAAAATTTAAAATACAGAGAAGCAAAGACAGATAAATATGAAATTCCCATTTATTTCCTACAACAACCACTGCTCTTAAGAATACGGTTATAAAAATTTAAGAATATGGTTAAGAATGAAGACAACAGAAATAAAAACAAATTCCAATTTAAAATGCTAAAACGTTTGGATTATAGAAGCATTTTTGTTACTTCTAAGAACCAGTTTTCCTATTTTAAAACCTTTTTATTATCGTGGAGAGGGAAAAGAGAAAAAAAATCATTTTGTTCAAGGTTATCTGAAAAAAAAAAAAAAAAAAAAAAAAAAAAAAAAAAAAAAAAAAAAAAAAACCTTAGACAGTTACTGTCATTTCTTTCCCAGCATACAGTAAAAAGAGGGTGGCTGAAAAAATTCCACAGTTCCTTGATGAAATATAAAATCAGTTAGAAACATGTTCTCATTTTCTGCTATGAAACTAGTTAGTAAGCAGGGGCATCTCTGGCTATGTTCATACACGTTTCATAGTTTTAGTTAGCCTTTTTTATTTACATTTTTTAATGAAAACATCATGTAAAAAATAAGACTCTTTGCTGGGAAGGAATGATTTTTCTCTTGCTATGCAATGAAAAAAAAAAGCTATTCATATTAAAAATTATGCATCCAGTCCTGTGTAAATTTCAGAAATTTTCCAAATGCAGCAAATAATTTTAAAACACAGAAATATAATTTTTCTGGTTACTTATAATTCCTAAAGAAAATAGAAAAGGGACAGAAAGCTAGCTGGTGTTAAAGAAACAATATTAAAAAGATTTTCAGTTGCCATACTTAAGAATAGTTATGTCAATAAGGCAATTTTCTTGATAATAGCTGAAAAGGTTGCAGAAAAAAAATCAGAATTAACAGATTTTTATGTAGCTGATGGATCGTTAAAGCGGTGGAAAGACAGAAAAAATATTGTTTACAAAACATTATAGAAAGCATAAGGCTGCAGCTTCTCAGCTAGCATCTTTATGGATTATTCAAAGTTTTGCACTAATATAATAGTGGCATAATAAAGCTTTTCTCGTTAAATTTTCAATACTCACAAACTGGGATATAATACTATATTTTAACATACTCACATTATTAAAAATATATACCTAGCTAGCATTCAGAAGTTACTTTTTCTACAACTTAAGTGTATAAATAAATAATAATAATAATGAATAAAATAATAACCAATAAAACCCTTCAATATTGACAAAATAAAAATTCTTCAAAAAAAAAGAAAAACTTGTTGTTTCAGTGAAATAAAAATTCAAAGACTGTTTGGCTGATAAATAGAAATTCTAAAGAATGGCTGCAGTGACAGAGAGGAAAGTGCTGCCTACTGCACTGTAAGTGTAACTAAAGAACACGGAAGGTAAGGAAAGATTCTGGATGTGTCACCGCTAGGTTCTAAAGAACATCAGAAGTGAGGTTATCGATAGTATAATTTAGTATAATATTTTTAATCTGCCTTATATTTGTCATTCTCTGTACATCATCTGTGCTGTATTTAATATCATGAGTAAAGTTTTTGCATGTCTCAATGAAATTACTGATCAATGCAAACCAGAAGTGTGCCAATGGTGGTGATCCTATAGTTAACAAAAAAACCAATGACAAAATAAGAATTTCCTTCAACAATAATCTAGCTCATCCTTTGATACAACTGATAAAAATGAACTTTATTTTATGCCATCAAAATACAACATGAATTATTCCTTTCAACTAAGAAATTGTTAAAATATTTAAAACTCTGTATCACTCAAGGTTGAGACATAAAATTCGCAATGCAACTGTTCAAGAGAATGGATCTATTTTTCAAAGAAATAAACAAATAACTTGATGTTATTCATATGATTAGAAATGTATGGGAAAAAGTTTCAACCACAAACATTTTTAAGTGTTTCCATAAAGCAAAATCTTTACAAAGATTAGGAAAAGCAGCAACACATTAACATACTAGATTAGTAATATACAGTCAAATACTGATAATCCGCCAACTCCTGAAATCCCCGTTGCCTCTCAAAATATAAACATTCAGTTTATAGGTTCTGGAAACTGCAACATTGAGTATGAAGTATCGAAGAAAAAATACTTACCAAATAATGACATCATAATTACCGAATAATAATGAGTCATAAGGGAAATACCAAATTATTGACATACTGATAAAAGTTCCCCCCCCCTCTAATCTTCATTGAGGTAAGAAAGCAGACGATTCACTCAACTCTTCTTTCAAGTTCACGATTCACGTTGTTGTATTTTCTGAGCTTTGTTATTTCATGAGATTATTTAGTGCTGCCTTTTTTTAATCTGGATATTTTGTGGATAAATTAAGAATATTTTAAATTTCAGCCCTTTTTAATACAATTACAGATAAGAAATGCACTCATGATTTTACTGGTTGCAACGTTGAAAAAACGTAAACACGTTGCATTGACGGTAATGCAAAAAGTGCAAATTCTGCAAAAGATGGAGACAGGTGCATTTTATAGCAGAATCTTATGGAATTGCGATACAATTGTGTATAATATACAGGAAAATAGAGAAAAGCTTTTGAAATTTTACAGCAACAGTGATTCTAACACCGGAATCCGAAACTGGAAATCTTTGCACGAGGCGAAATCGGCAAACCTCGATGCTGTGTATATATAATACAATGAATAATATAATCAGTTTATATATAATAATAACTTAACATATATAATAAGTTATTGCAATAATGTATATAATAATTTAATTAAATGTATCTAATATGCCTTATTTATTTTGCACTTTTAGTCTGAATATTATGATTTATCTTTTCTGTCCTGAAATCCGCAAAACCTCTGGTCCCAAGCTTTGCGGATTTCTGGACTTCTACTGTATTAGCAAAAGATGAATTAGAATCAACATTCAACAAATATGCTTGCTCTCATGAAAATTTACAAACTGGTTTAATAAAATATGGTTTCTAGCAATATTTTATTTGCTTATAAAAAGTGATAATTATTCACAAACAACATTATTGTTCATTCACAGTTGGTGTAATTATTTTTATCTTGTACACTAATAAATTTATTATGTGATCAATTTTGGAAACTAAGTCAGTTGTCGTTTTCAGTTAAAATACAAAAAAATATTCAATTTCATCTCCTACTACAAAGTTTTCTGCATCTCCTTTCATTATTAAAAATACTATTTCAAGAATTATTAGAGACCAGGAAAAGTAGATAATTTAACTGAAAGAAAAAAAAATTAATTACACATATGGCATAAATGACAAAAATTTTAATAAACTTATTGCTTCATATACAAAAAAATATTCAATGCCCACTTGTGAAGTTATTTATTTTTTAGTGCTTAAATCCACAAAAGCCATGAAAGGAGTCATTTATTGCTTAAGACAAACATAAAAAGAATAATTGCAAGTTTTTTCCCCTTGCATTTGGATAAAAACAAGAGTAAAAAATAGATGAACAGCGAACTGATAAGCTTCAAGCATTCAAAATATTTGTTTTGTATATGCAATGTTGACCAACCAGTGTTGAGGAGTAAAGTCACTGAGCACTGGTCCAGGGTTTGAATCCTGACAAACGGGCTTGGCTGCATGGCCATTTTCATGGTTTTCACCATGTTTAACATGGATATAAGCCAGAGTCGCTTAAATGGGCATCCCTCCCTTGCCATGTAGTGCCTAATATTGGAGTATGTATTACAAATAATCCATGTAATGTTTGAGCTCAAATACTTGACATTCACAACATACAAAAAGTAAATTGTTCATTATAATTAAACATTTCATGAATGAAATGGTATCATTCTAACTAGTCTTTTAGAAAGCATGTCCGGAATAATTAGCTATTCTTAATCTAAACATATGTACAATAAGCAATATCTAATGCACCAAACTTTCTTACCAGATTTCTTTTTCACTTCTAGTGCTATTTTCACAGCTTGATCAATGAATTCTACAACCTGTTCAAAGTCTTTTTCTTTGAAATTCCGAGATGTAAGAGCTGGCGCACCTAGAACATTAAAAGGTGACAAAATGTACAGCTTTTATAACCTCATAAAACAATCTATGTTTGCTTTTTTATAAATCACTGAAAGCTTATTCCTTAACACAGATACAAAGAATAAAAAAATTATACTGGATAAAAAAAAGGCCCATTCAAAAGGATCTACGGTAATGCTTCTTAATGAAGTGCATTTCTTAAACCTTGCAGAGATTTATAATGCAATTTGATACACAGCATGACTTAGGTTTATTAAAATATGGTTAACAAAATAGTGCAAGTGTGCAATGATGAAAAAAGATAATACTCAAAATGTCAAAAGCAATAAATCTCAAGCAAGTGAACCAAAGCAGCCTGCTGGCATAGAAAACCTAGATTACAATATGGAAATAACAAAAGTAAAGTTTATACAATGTTGGAGAGTCCAATGTTGTCAAATGCAGGATACTCCTGAAGTATTGTCTCTTTCCATCAGATGATTTTTCCAATATTTACTGCAAACTTCTGCATTCTTGCTCTTCATCTTGATTACCATGATGCCTCAACAGTCAACACAGTGCATTTTATCAGTTGACATCATATCAAAGACATTTCATTAATGGCTTTCTCAAGGTTTAACATCAGCATAGTGATGTGCTCAAGTGGTACAAAGAATATACAGAACATCCCAATGCAAGTTTAAATTATCCACAAATAGCGAATGTTATGGGAGATTACCACACTGCATTTGCAACAAATGTTAATCCTCATACTCCCTCTTCAAACATCCACAGGTACTTTCTTTGCATAGAATAATGTCAACAAGATAGCTGTAAACATGCTTAACTAGTAGTGCTTCTGTCTTGTTTGAGTACAATGTACAAATGCAGCAACATACAGGTGAAAAGCTTCAAGATGCATATCTGGTTCAGCACACTGCAAGTCTGTGCTTGGTGTCATGGTATGGGATGGCATTTTTTAGGATTCTTGGAGTGTTCCAAGAATATTAGTATATTATACACTTTTAAATGAAATTTGCATTAATAAACCACTTAATTCCTAGAAATGCACTTAAAACCCCAGTTTTAGATCAAGATTTTCATATAAATGAATATTTTTATACATTATGCAGCACATACACAGATATTCATTACATAGTACATTTGTAAGAAAAGATTGTTCAGCATCACAATTTTTTTGTTGGAATCAGTTGGCATACAAAGCAACTAAATTTAACTTCAGAAAATTAGTTTTGGGCATAATTCAGAAGTCTAACAAAATATAAGGTCAAACAATTCAAAATTCCTTTTGGAATGGAATTACTTTCCAGTATAATTTTATAGAAATTATAATAGAAGGTAAAATAGAAATTATTTAAATATAATTTAACAATTACAATAGAAATTAGAAAATAATGAGGAAAAAAAAAATCAAATTCGTGGATTTATTCCACATCTGTAGAAAAATCTGCTATTCATATCTTAGAAAATCCCATAAAATTGATGGAACTATGTGCCACTATAAAGTTACTGCTCTTTCACAAAAAGCTACTGGGAAAGTTGCTGTTGGTTTTAGTAAATAATCTTTAAAAGTCAACAATACACAGATGAAGTGGTTACGCCCACTGTAATCCTTTCCATAATTGGCATCCAATGTGAAGTGCTCCAGCAGGACAACACACAAATATACACTAGCCATGTGGTTGAAACTGCTCTGCAGACTATGCATAATCTTGCTCTGGATGATCAAGAATATATATACCACACAGGAAGACATCTGTTACTTTCCATCACAAGAAATGCCTTCCTATTTCAACAGATTTAGGAATTATCCTGGGCTGGTTTTTAATTCAAGTTGACTACCATAAAACTTCATCTAATCTTTAATTCAAGTTAGTAATTTACAAGTGGGGCCATTAGCAGTCGAGCAGACAAAATTTGCAGAACGCTGGTAGTTCAATCCACAGTTCCAATTCTGGTGAACGTGCTAGCTGAATGGCCATTTATGTGGTTTTTCCCCGAGTATAACATGGAGTATCAGTCAGTTTCTCTTAAAAGTCCTCCATGGAGCATCTCTCCATTCAGCAGACACTTATGTGTGCATCACTAATCAATAAAAAAAACTGTACAACAATATGCCACACTGGATAACCAGCTGTTTAATATTTATGATGGATCTATCTCCATACAGATGTTTGACTACCATTTCCATGCAAGATGATATTAACATTAGCAACCTGTGTAACATAATGAATACTGACATAACACATGAGCATGCATATAAAATCAGTTCCATTGTGTTACAAATATTTCAGGCCTTTGCATATCATATAATTTGTATAACCCTTCTGAGAATTACCTTGCTTCCAATAGAATGTGCAATTCCATATTTGAATAAACGTAGAATACACCACTGATACAGCAACTGTATGAATTGTAAGTAATAATTTTGTGTTTTATTCTTCAGTTGAGAAATACATAGAATATACCATTTAAACTGCAATCTTATTTGATATAAATGTTAATTATTAATGAATTATTATTGCTTTATACAGAACATACCCAATCTAACTCCACCAGGAACTAAAGCAGATTTGTCCCCAGGACAAGTATTTTTATTAGCTGTGATATTAGTTTCATTCATAACACATTCTAACCGTGCACCATCAAGTCCATTAGGTCTCAAATCAAGCAACAATAGATGATTATCTGTTCCACCTAAGGAAGGAAACATAATATTATTGCTTAAAATGGCATTAATTTTTACTAAAAAATATAAAAACAAGACAGTAAGTTATATGTTCTACTGCAATGTTTGTTTTAGGTGAACCTCTTAAATAAGCATAACACATACTTATTTTCCAAATCAAAAACAGGTTTATTAATTCAAATAATAAACTGGCAAAAAGAAATGAATGCATAAATTAAAAACTTTTTTTTAAAGTACAATCTTTCAGCCTTCTTTGAGTTAATTTCCAAACAACATGTTAAAGAGAATTTTTTTTTCTCTGTTTTGCTACAGAAGTCACCAGTTTACACAGAACTTACTTAACAAAAAGCATTAGTACAAATACTAACCAGAAACTAAAGTATAGCCCTTCGACATCAAGGCCTTAGCCATAGCTTTAGCATTTTTTAAAACTTGTTGTTGATACTCGCGGAATTCCGATGACATAGCCTTTAAACAAAAATTGCTTTATTAAGGAGATTTTAACATAACCACAAAATAATTTAATGCTACATATGTTTTTAAAAATATAAAACACTCATGATCCTAGAGTCATAGTATATATCATAATACCTGTTTTAAAGCTACAGCAACAGACGCAATAGCATGATTATGTGGTCCACCTTGCAAACGAGGAAATACGGCAAAATCTATTCTTTGTTGAAAATCATATTTTATTTCTTTCCCATTCTTGTCTGTACTTTTGGTTCCTTTGCGGAAAAATATCATGCCAGCCCTAAAAAATTCAAGTTTATTCAATTACATTCTTACTTTATACAGCTCAAAAAATAAAACTCAAATTTGTACACTTTAATCCATTAAAATATGTTTGACACTCTGCACATATTAGTGACCCAGGCATACATAGTTTATGAAAACAGCAAGAACAGTTAAGATTATTCCTGTTCGTAAAAAAGTCCAGGTTTACTTATAATTTAAAATTATTATGATGTGTTATCAAGACAGATTACTATCAGCTACATTAATTGAATTATTTCTGAAAAATCATTGTAGAGGTAGTACATTTGACTGCGGTAACCATATTGACCTCCATGTCAATATTAAATATTAGAAAATGCTGGAGAAAATTCCTAACCAATAAATCAAATTACACACTTTAGCACATTTTTTTTTTCTTTTTCTTTTCTATTAATAGATAATGTCCAAACTTCTTAAGCAGTCCTCTCTTCTCAAATGTAATATTTTAGATGCAAGAAAAATCAGACTTTTGATTCTTTTCATGTGTCAGAATTGTGATTTTGTTCTGTTGGACAGAATATAAATCTCTTTTTTAATTCTCTTATCAAATATCTCTCCCATTCACGACCAGGGAGCGCATCTACCATCTTCCAGTCTATGACGAGAAATAAGCGATGGCATCCCATTTGAGCCTTAGGATACAACCTCTCTAGGAATTGAACACAATGGCCAATCACTCCCTATGAAAATATTTATTAAAACACTGAAACACTCATACAGCATATGGCAATCTGGAACTGATTGACAAAATAACAAAAGGGCTCAAATTTTCAAAACCAAGACAGAGACATGAAAAATTGAAGGATATACATACAAAATTGCTAATTAAAAAAAAAAAAAAAAAAAAAAAAAAAAGAAAAAAAAAGGGGGAAGACAGAAAGATTTGTAAATGACAAAAACAACATTTTGAACAGGTTTATAAATACAAACACTACTGACCCATTAAATATAGAGGTGTGTGTGTGTTTTTCCAGAAGGATGAAATGCCAGAACATTAGCTCTGATGGCATTTTATAAGACTGAGGCCCAAAAATGGAAAAGCAAATATTTATGTCACATCAGATGTAGTTAATGAAGACCTTACAAAATGTTGAACACAATTTAGACTTTCAAAAGCATCCTGGATGATACAAAGTAGCTGCAAGTTAAGATCCTAAACAGAGGGAGTAAAAGACTTATAGAATGCAATTATTTACGAATTAGAAATTATCAATTCCATATAAAACATTTACAAGTATACTGATGAATAGAATGAAATAGTCAACTTTGAGATTTTAAATAAACAACAGGCTGATTTCAGAAGCAGAAAAGGCATAGTCAGCTAAATCTTTATTCTATAAAATGCAACTGATAAATGCACTGAATTTAATGCAACAGTATATCAGTCTTTAACAGACTTGGCAAAAGCTTTCGACAAAATTAATACAGATTAAGGAAACTAAAAAAACCCATAATGCTCCTGCTAAAATAAGTAGAGTAGATGCTTGAGTTTGCTTCATGAAAGGAATTTTAAAGCACATCACCTACATTAATAAGTAAAATAAAAATAACTAACCTGCCACCTCTAAGTGTTTTATGTGTGGTTGTAGTGACAACATCTGCATAGTCAAATGGAGTTGGAATAACACCAGCAGCAACAAGACCACTGATGTGAGCAATATCAGCAAGAAGAATAGCTCCCACAGCATCACAAATCTAGCCAAAAAAAAAAAAAAAAAAAATTCAGAATATTGAAAAATTAAGCATTACTTTGCATGGAAACTTAGCTTTGAAGTGAAAAGTTTAGCAGCGTTTACTACTATTTGAAGATTTTCTCTCTACTATTTGATTTTGTAGTAAAAAAAAAGTGCTTCTTATAAACATTCACAAAACTGAAAAATTTAATAACCATAAAATAATAACACAAAAATTTTAGGTATACATATACCATATATTCCAGGCTATTATGCATACTGGTGTATAATGTGCACCTGTATTTTCAAACTACATTTTGTATTTTTTAGGTATATTAGTCATATAACGTGCACCATTTTCGTTATGATGAAACCTGAAAGATACATGTGCGATGCTGTTATCACTTGAAGTCATAAATTTGAAGATTTTTCGCAGGTTTTCGTTCAACGGCATATGAAATTGACAAGCAATAAGGGGACAATATATATATATATGGGGGAAATGCTGGAGGAAGTATGCAAAGAGGGTGGGTTGTGTTTAATGCAGGTGAGCACAAGAATGTTATTCTAAAGTTTTGAGAAAAGGGGAAAATAATCTAGGGATAAGAATGTATTTCCGACCTGAATGAATTCGCACAATCAGGAGTCAGATGTTTTCTCCTTCTGTAGTCATTTGAAGCCGTGATTTTGAAGTGAACAAAGAATGCTTTAGTCAATTGCATTTGCTTTAGCTGAAATACAGTTGATCTAGAGTAGAATTTAGTAATAAATATGGCTGCTGACAAACAAACGATAGTGCTGGTTTAAATGCCAATCATTCAGTTTGTGAAAGAAAATGTAAATCATGCTGCAGCAAGTATGTTTGGCATTCGTGAAAGTTCCATACCTGAGTGGAAGAAAACAGGTATCACTGTAATTAATATGCTAAAGAATAAATATGCTTTGTGGAAAGAACTAATGAAATGCCCCATCCTAGAAAGAAAGTGTTGCAAACTTGGTCCTAGAAAATCACCAGTAAAAGCATTTAGGTACATGTAGAAATCAAAGTTGTGAATCTTTTCCTTATTTTTAAATCTATCATTTTTATATCTGGTGTCAAATGCGCACCCATAAATTTCGATCTCATTTTTGCATTAAAAGTTTGTGTTATACATTGGATTATATGGTATTTAAAAATGTTTCAGAATAGTAAGTAATTAAGACATAAATGAAAACATTTCTTTCAATTTCATTCATACCACAATGCAATTTTAAATGGAGTATATCATATATGCTGTATTAGAGAGGAGGGTAGATCAGTAACTTTAGCAGAAATAATAATTTTAATTCAAACTGCAGAATTAATCCATGCCCATAACATACTAAGTCTTCTCCCCCCCCTTTTCTTTTCTTTTACAGTACTAGGAGGACAAAACACAAAAATAATAACAAATCACAAAATTTCAAACTTCGCAACTGAAAATTAAGTCACGAAAATCAATTTTAAGTTGCTATGGTGAAAATTTCATGCTCAGATAGCAAAATATGATACCATGAATAAAATTCGCATTTTTACACTTTTTAAATCCTGCAAATTATTCATAAAATGACTAAAATTTCAATTTTTAAGAAAAAAGAGATTCAATGTTATCTCTGAAAATAATAAAGGTATCCAAATATTTACCCCATTGCCAAAAAAAAAATTTAAACAGGTAACAAAAATACTACTTTAAGCAAAATGTGATGCTTGGGATTCTGAGACTTATATATCAGTTGAATGCTAACGATAACCATTTTAACAAAAAAAAATTATATATATATATAAATTATCTGAAAAGATGAACAAAATCAGGTCAGCAATGCATGGGTCCCTGATCCCCGTACGTGTAGGTTGCTCGTGATACCGAGCCATCAGCAATGGATAAGCCTAACTACGAGGATTATGGAAACGACGTTGCCATGGAGAAATATAGGCCTAATACTGCTATCCCGCGTGAAAGCTGTGTCGGACTTCCGGTACCAAATATTAGTATGGATCATGAATTAAATACGGACGATGACAATGTGAATTCGGAATTGAAAATAATGCGTGAAAGACTACGGAATTTAGACATCGAAATTGATCAGATGGAAGCTTCGGTAAGGACGTGCCGTTACAGACAACGATGTGGTTACTACTCCTATGATCAAGATAATTCAGCAGATGAAAGCTCAAGCAGATGAAATCAGGGGTAAGTACAATTTTTCTGTCATTTCAGGCATTAAAACCAGTAAATAGTAATAACCAGGCTAATAATTCTGAATCTAGAAATAAACGTAAGTTAAACTCTAATGCTACTAATGTAGATAATGAAGGTTTTAAACTGGCCACCAAAACTGCTAAGCAGCATAAAATTGAGAAATTTAATGTTAAGATTACTACTTCTAATAAATTTAAGGCTTTGGAAAACAATGTAAATGGTGACACCCCCCAGACAATCAGGCTGTGCAGCAGCAGACGACTGTTAGCCAATCGGCTGTACTCCGATTATGGTTAACCCCGGCCACGATACTAACGAAGAATTTTTACAAAAATTATCGAAAAGTACAAAAGCTAAATTCCTACGCAAAATTAACGGGGAATTGTTGAAAATCTTGCCCCACAGTCCAGAAGACCACCACATGTTGAATGCATTATTTCAAAGTAAAAAAATAGAACATTATGTAATCAATGCAAAATACAAATGACCTATTAAGGTGGTAATAAGAGGTCTTAGCATTACGACTAACAAACAAAATATTGTTAATGCTTTGACTGGAAAAGGTTTTTCTATTGAAAATCACGCAGCTCATGAGAAGAAAGACCAGAGCACCTATGCCGCTGTTTATGATTGAAGTGGTTAAAAATGAAAATGCTGATAATATATTCAATGGTAAGGACTTGTTGCTTTTCTCTGTGGAGGTAGAAAAATATGTAGCCAAAAACCAGGTGTCCCAGTGTTTTAATTGTCAACGCTGTCACCATTCGTCGGAAAATTGTTTTTCAACACCTTGATGTATGAAATCTTAGGAACCGCACAAAACCATGAATTGCCCCATAAAAGGACAAATTGAGGAGCCATAGTGCAGTAACTGCAATGGAAATCATACAGCCTCATATCGAGGTCACAGTAAATTCCAAAAAACTAACCTCCTATGAGCAGAAAAGATAATATGGTCAAAAATGGAATTTCTTACGCCCAAATGGCTAAAAGACAGAATGAACACCCAAATTTTAGACCGTTCGAAAGAACTCCTATGTCGTCCTCTGCTGCATTGAATGTAAACAAAACTGAAAACATGTCTGATGTCAGTATTCAGAATAATATAATGTCTAATTCTCAGACCAATAATAACAGTACTGCTAATAGAAATTTAAACAGAAAAAGTATTATGCAAAATTCTACTGATAACAGCCACGTATCTGAATTCGTTAGTTTTATCAGGTATGTATCTAATTTGAGTAATATTTTTGGTATGCAAAATATAATCTGTCATGAATAACATTTTTTAAAAATATATGCCTAAGCTTAATGCTCTCACGGATACTATGGACAAAATGTTCTTATTTTTTTAAATCATGAGTGAAATATCCGATAATGTATCAGAGTAATAGTAGCCAAACTTTAACAGTTGTTACATGGAACGCAAATGGATTGCTCCCTAAAGCGTACGAGCTCAAGGAGTTCATACACGAATACTGTCCCTACATTTTACTTATACAGGAATACATGCTTGGCCCAACAAATATGTTCAGAGCCTGCAATTATGTTACCCATAGATGGGATCGACTGACGGCAGGGAGATGTGCTCCCCGTGGAAATACACAAGGAGGTTTGCTTATTTTAATAAAGTGCTCCATTTCTCATCATATCACGCCATTACCACAGCTTTTAGACATAGAAGCCTTAGCTATTACACTCACTCCAAACACATCACGACCACTCACTATTATCTCCACCTATTTCCCTATACACACACCAGCAAATTCTGTAAAAACAGATTTGCAAACTCTATTAAATACTTTCAATCGAGTCATCATAGAGGGAAATTTCAATGCACACCACCGCAAGTGGAATTGCTGGGATATTAATCAACACGGACGAATTATTCATAAATTTGGCGAGGCGGCTAACGTTAACCTAGCATTCCCAGTTAAACCAACACACTGTGGTATTGATAGACCATCTGTAATTGATTTCTTTATCTTAAAAAATATTAATAACCCTGACTATATTGAAAGTTTGTCAGAGTTATCGTCAGATCATAACCCTGTTATGGAAATCAAAACCAATACCTACAGTACACCACAGAAAAGAGCCCTTATTATGAACTGGACAGGTTATGCCAAAGCTCTAAACAACACTCAGTACACGCTCAAAGCAATACAGACAAGATGAGTTAGACGCTTTTACAAATAGTTTCACAGAGGAACTGCACAGTGCATTAACGAAAATAGTAAAGAGATAAGAGAGGAAGAAAGATTTTAAAATAGTGCCATCAGAGAGCTAATTAGAAAAAGAAACCATGCAAGGAAACAATGGCAAAGATTCAGATGCCCTGCAGATAAATCTCTCATGAACAAACTGAACCAAGAAGTCAGGACTCTTATAAAAAAAAACATGCACAACTCGACTGGGCCAGATACTTAGAATCGCTTTCAACAGATGATAACTCTGTTTGGAACGCGGTTTCTAAGTTTAAGAGACGCAACACAAACATTCTGCCCATTAATTGCGATGCTGGGATTGCTTACACTGATTTTGAGAAAACTGAATCTCTTGCAGATAATTATGCCTCTCAATTTCACACACACAACATACATCACAATCAAACAGAACACCTAGTTTCTTCCCTCATTACCCAATTCAATTCAAGAACAAATGCAAACAACACTCCCTTAATTATGCCGTCGGAAACTAGTAGCTATATCGAGAAGAGGAAAAATAGAAAAAGCCCAGATTTTGATAATGTCAGCAACAAGATGATTAAGGAGATGGGCCCCAAGATGCTCTGCAAATTTACGAAGCTAATCAACGATATGATGAAAATCCAATATTTTCTGACCAACTGGAAAACTACTGTGATCACGCCAATACTAAAGCCGGGAAAAGATCCATCCTGTGCAACCTCCTACAGGCCCATTAGCCTGTTATTCATGCTAAGCAAGATTGCGGAGGCGGTTATTCTAAAACGCATCCAAGACTTCATCGGAGAAAATAACATCTTAATCCCTAAACAGTATGGTTTTCAACAAAAATACTCAATGACCCATCAGCTCTATCGAGTCACAGAATTAATTGCTGATGAACTGAATAAGAAACGCACACTGGAGGCCTCTTTCTCGATATTTCGAAAGCATTCGACTGTGTATGGTTACAGGGTCTCACATACAAGTTAATCACTCTCGGCTTCCCAGATTACATCATAAGCATCATTAATTCCTATCTGTACGATAGAAAAATGTGTCGTTCGTTATAAACAAGCATACTCTACACGCAAAGAAACCTTTGCAGGCTTGCCTCAAGGGAGCTTACTCTTACCTACCTTTTTTTCAATTTATACGAATGACATTCCACACCACCCCCTCACTACACAATGCATGTTTCTATCTACCTATCCGTATAGATATGCATGCGTGTGTATGTGTATGTAAGATAAAAAATATATAATAATAAATTATAATTTAAATTAACAATAGCCCATAATTCCTCTTTTTAATTTGGGCACTTCCCCATCTCTTCTAAAAATAGTAATTACTTTTTCTGTGCTGCAGCATTTCTAGATGAGTCCATACATATGATAACAACAACACTGATAACACTGATGATGCAGCTAATTCAGAACTTAAAGCAAAAATTTCTCTTAATAAGCTGCCATATTGGATAACTGAACACTTTGCTACCACCTATGTTCTTGTCAAGATGCTGCTTGATGCTTTTCTTACTATCACAAGAATATCTAAAATGTAACTGTTTTGAAACAGGTACAATTAGTGTGCCTAGTGAATTGTGGACACAAAATATTTAACTACAGTAAAAGAAATATGATTTAAATCTACCACGAGACTGCCTCTTACTGCATATGACTTCCAACTTTCTTTTTCAGTCCGAATTTGTGTGTGCTTCTACATCTGTCTGCATCATTCCCAAATCATTACATATACACATAACATATAAATTATCTGCAAAAATAAATACAAAAATGTGCATACAGTTAAAATGTCACTTCTATGGTAAATATTAATATCTAAGTGGGAGCAGCATACCGGCACTAGCACAGGCTTGAGAATGTTTAACTGTTTACTAAAAGCTCATTTAAATGATGCAGAATGAAGTCTCTATACTTATACTAAAACAGCAGGTATTTCCACACACATAACTTCTTCCCTCACACAAAATCAAATACAAATAGATCGTAAGTGCTTCAAGAATCACCAAGCATCAACCACATACAAAATATATTCAATTAGCAGCATTAGTTAAGTATGTACAGTATGGCAAGTCCTGCACATCATTTATGTAAATACTAAACATTAAAACAAGTAAAAAAGTAAGCCCTGGAACACACCAAATAAGCCAGTACAGGTGGCATGGGTATTTCTACCATGAATAACAACATTCCAATTAAGATAAAATTTAAGAATAAATAATGCCAAACTTATTCTCCTTTATTTATTAAAGTTTTCTTTGCCACATACAGAAAAAAGACATGAATTTGTATGTAAATAATTACAAACTTTACTTCTTACTACAAATGCCAGCTACCACACCTGATGGTCTCTCTATTTTAACAAAATTTGTAACCTTGAAGAAAAATTATTAGAAGCTATCTTCATTAACAAACTGCAGATGTTCATCAGTCAATCTGGTTCTCTTCTTAGACTCATTAATTTTCAATTGTGGAAAACACAGTTCTCATATTCAAAAAGACAGTTTTCTTCCAAACAAATCGATTATTCTCACTGCAAATCACTCACTGATTGCACTCACGGATTTATCTTGTTATTCACATAAATAAATGATATTTAAAAAATATAGAAAAATATGTCTCAACTTTTCCATAAACCAATAGTTATAAATGAATGAATATGTGAAGTGTTCTGTTACCACAGTCCCCATGGCAGAAAAAGAGAAATAAAATATTATTTGCAGGAAAAACCAAGATTATAATTCTTCATTTGCTTACTTTTTTAAGACAGGAAATTTGATTTTATTGGTTACTACTTAGAACATTTTATCATCTTTACATTCTTTGATTTGTTTCTGGAAAGCTCTGGGTTTTCCTGACCTTGAGGAATGTTTCCATTTCCCCTGATCAATTTTGACTTCTTCGAATGCCTATCTCTGGATGCTCATTCTAACCCTGATTTTCCAGATGAATGGAAACTGTTCAAGTAAGTCTTTCTGATGCAAACCAAAAAAGCTAAGAAAATATCATATCTACCTCTCTGAACCGTTTATAATCCAGAAGTCGTGAATATGCACTAGTTCCTGCAATTATCAGTTTTGGACGAAATAATTTTGCCATGTCTTCTAATTTGTCATAATCAATTAGTCCAGTTTCTTGCTAAAAAAATAATTTAAAAGAAATAATGCACAGAAAAGGTAATCAGTCAAAATTTTATATAATATACATAACAGTTCAGTCATAAAATATACAACAGTATGTTATTAAAACATAAAATAAATTGCGATGAGGTACTCAAAAAATCAAGTAAAAGAATAATGCCTTTTCTGAAAAATTAAATCCGCATAATAACGAGTTCCCACACATAATAAACACACTTATCAAGTAATAAACATGTTAAATGTATAGTAATGACATTAAGTAGTAGTGACATTAAGTAATATTTTCAATGCAATACATAAGAACTAGATAATTCAATTATTTCATAACAAACAATTACTCATATTCATAGCTTACAGGTTAGACTCTAATACAAAGCATGATTCAAAAGTAATGGGACAGATGCCATATACTCAAAGCACACGATGGCGAGCAAAGCACTTGGCACAGACTGACATTGGATTATGCCATCAATAGACCCTAAGTTGTGATGACCTAATTCATTCTGCTTGCTTAATCATTTGATTGTTTAAAAAAGTGCCTTAAACAGATTCGCAGACAGTCTTGTCATATTTACCATTTACTAAGGAAAAAAAATTTGGCAAAGAATTTACTACAAATTTCACTAACAGCTTGCTGATTGATATATGTACAGAGACAATGCAAAGTTGCAGAAAGTATTTTGGAAGGAGTATGTGAGCTGCATGCAAGTTTATGTATGGTTCAAGTATTTTCAAGATGGCTGAGAAAATTTTGAAAGCTTCTTGATTCTTGATGAATAAGTCTCATCTTCTAATAAAACGTCACAGCTCTCCAGAGCATAAAATTACTCGTTTTAAAATGAAAAGGTCTTTATACTACAGTGGAAAAATCAAGTAATACAAATCATGAAAATTATTTGGTAGCAGCTTTAGGCTGTTTCATAAATAAAACAAAGTGACCTATAATTAGTAACTAATTATCGCAATGCACTTAATAATTATTTGCCTTGAAAGCAATGCCTATATATGGAGAACTTTGTAAACTGGCCCATACACTGCTTGGGGAGGGGAATCCCAAAACCAAAAAAGCATTAATGTAGAATAATGAAATTTTGGCAATACATTTTTCTAAGCAACATATTTAATTGATTAATTTTCCAAGATCACAGGTTTATGCAAACGCAAGAAGAGCCATTTCAAATGTTGGTATATTAATAAACAGTGGAACTGCCCGAATGTTGAATGCAAGCATGCAAACGTGCATGCTGTGTCGTACAGGTGGCGAATGACAGTTTATGGGATGAAATTCCATGTCTGTTGCACTTGCTAGGTCAATTCAGAGAATGTTAATGCTGGTGTATACAGGGTTGCCACTCAAACAGGAGAATGAAATTCCCTGACTTTTCCAGGTATGTTTCGAGAAAATTCCAGTCTATCCGCGTAATGTACGTTGGCTGTGCTAAGAGGTAAATTAATTATGGTATTACTTGTATTGTGTAGCAAATTCACTTAATTATTCCATAAATCCCAGCGGACATTTATTCTTAATTATTCTTGGTACACTTTGTTTGATAATTTTGTTTACTTTTCCACTTAAGAAACTTAATAAAATTTAAGATATATACATTGGATAACAAATGTACGTTTTATTTAATTATTACTCATGATCATCACCAGTTCAACACAAGGCTAATCCGGTTCTTATAAATCACAACGCAATGCTAAATAGTTAGGTTAGATTTTAGGTAAATTTAATTTGTGTGAGGTGTCTTTTTAAAAGGCACCTTAACACTTGAAAACACAAATATAATTATAATATAATTATAATATTAAATTATATTTAATTTTTTCTCCACTAAGATTGAGATTAGAATCTGCCCAATCTGGAATAAAATAGGCTTTTTTTGCAGACATTCTGCAGCTAAACGAAAGAAAGAAATCTATTTAATGATATTTTTTAAATAAATTGAGGTATTTATATTTATTTCGCAGCATACATAAGGAAAAAATAAGTGCATTAAATTTCGTGATGGTATGTCATCATACTGCTAAAATTAATTTCAGGATTGTGCCAGAGAAAATTTCCTAAAATTTGGAAATATTATTTACTAATGATAAATAAATTTAGAGGGAAGAAGCAACATTAAATGATATGAATAACATAAAAATAATTACTTAAAAATTGAATTAGAATAATCAACGATATTTTATAATCAACGATATTTAGCGAATATATTACATGGATAGCCTAGATGACTGATTATTATTTTTTTATTTTACAGCAAAATGACAAGGTATTTATTAAAAAGAAAAGAAAAAAAAAGGTTTAAAAAGATTTTGCGGTCAAATCTTAGTATACGTTATTACGGCCTTTGCACGATTTTGAAAATTGTTGCCAAGGACAAAATGAGCCGTTTACTGCTCATCATCATGTCGCCAAATCACATTGTACAATACATGGAGATTATTCTAACCAAAGAATGTCTATGTAAACTAGAAAAGGTTTCATACACGTAAATGCTATTACGGCGCTAGAATGTGGAGGAAAAATTTGCCAAGGGATTTGGCAACGTAACCTGGCGGGCAGAATTTCCATCTCTGCGATGTGTACAGGAAATTGAGAAACATGTGTTAAGAAAAAACATTCTTTGACAAAAAAGAAAACTACAAAAATGCATTTTTAAATTATTGCGAAAAATCCAAGAAGAAACGTTTTATCAAAGAAAATTTTTTCTTGGATTTTTCGCAAAAATTTTTACGTATTTTCGAAAAACGTATTTTCGTATTTTTTTTACCTCAAAATAACTAATCCATGAATTAATTTACTTGCGCCAAAAAATATTTTTTTTCCTTTAGAGTTTAAAGAAATTTTAAACGATATTCATTTTATGAACTCTTGATAACGTAACCTTCGAACTTCGACACCGGTTTCGAGCTTTGGCGACAGATATATTGCGCATGCACAGCTGTTTCCCTCTATGATGGAACGGAGCCACGTCTGTTGCAGAGAGGTTTTCCTTCTTTATAATACATATTCTTTGATTCTAACCTTCATGTACCGTATACTAGGATTAAACCCATTTTGTTTTATACGAGAACAGGTACTTTCTTTAGTTCATGCACTGCACATGCGATTCTCGAGGTTACTGGAAACCAAACGTTGCGGGAAACTTGCTTTGCCTTTCTAAAAGACAATCAAATTGGAGCTGCAAAAATTGGCTCTATGCCAGCTGCCCGAATGACACTTACGTGATACACAATTCACCAAAAAAGTGATCTCTTCCGACGTCGGCGCAAAACTCGCCTTTTTTGGCGGGATCGTTGTATGAAATTCCCTGACTTTTCCAGATTTTGACTAAAACACTTAAATTCCGTGACTTTTCCCTGAATTTTTTTGGTCAATTTCCGAATTCCCTGACTTTTCCCGGTTTTCCAGGTAGCGTGGCAACCGTGTGGATAACACTGAAGCTGTCATTTAATGATGTTCCAAACATGGCAGGCCAAGGCAACATGTCGACACTCTGTAGATCATATTGGGTTACAACAGCAATATGAGGGCAAGCGTTATCCATTAGGAAAACATAACCTTGAATGCTGTTCATGAATGACAGCAAAACAAGGTTGAATCACCAAACTGACATACAAATTACAGTCAGTGTGCATGGGATAACAACAGTGCTCCTGCTCTCACAAAAAATTGCTCCTCAGACCTAACTCCAGGTGTAGTTTCAATGTATCTAGGCCGCAGACAGATTGGTTGTAGAAGCTTACTTCTTCTAACCAACACATGGTCATCACTGGCACCAAGGCAGAGCTGGCTTTTTTCAGAAAATAGAACAGATCTCTACTCCATCCTCCAATGATCTCTAGCTTGACACCCCTGGCATCACAAACTTTTGGAGTCAGTGGAATACACGTTACACAGTGTCTAGCTTGAAGCTGTTCTTCAACAAGTAACTGAATTGCAATAGTTTGTTATGTCACTGTGGTGCTAACTGCAACTCAAATTTCTGCTGCAGATGCAGTATGATGCGCCACAGCCATACATACACCAATCATGGCAGTCTTCCCTCTTCTTGGGTCACTATCTTTCTTGACCACTGCCACAAACAATCATGCACAGTAGATATATTCCTGCCAAGTCTTTCTGAAATCTTACGGAAAGAAAATTCCCATTCTAATAGTCCTATTACACAACATTGTTCAAACTAACCAAGCTGTTGATAATGGCTTCTTCATTCTTCTCAGACATTCTTGGCTGATATCAACACACTACGTCAAATCTCAACAATAAACAGCACTCTCAAACTTTATAGAGTGTATTTAAAGCAAACCTGATCTAAATGTGCATAATGCCATAACTAGCACCATACTTACGTGCCTAGCGTGAAATTCAAATAGACATCTTTCAGATGTATAAACATGCATACCAAATTTGGTTTATCTAGCACAACTCCTTTTTGGTGTTGGGATCCCCTCCCGTCAGCATATTTACATTATGCATAGGCAGAGTTGGTTTTACCATTAGGCAAACTTAGAAGACTGCAAGAGAGCATTAAGTTACTGGAGTGCTTGTTTTAGTCATAAACAACAAAAAAGGCCACATCACTGAATTTTCCAATTCAATAATATTCTCCCTTATATATATATATATACAGTCAAAAGTCGTTAATTCGGACACCCATAATCCGGAATGATCTATAATCCAGACCTCAAAGCTAAAAACTTTCTGTGCATGCGCCGCGTTGGCACATGCGCACAGGCGTTTTACGCATGCACGTAAGACCTTGACTACTGCGCATATGCGTGTGCGCAAGTGCAGAATGCGTTTTCGCCTGCGCGTTTAATGTATAACGGACGGTGTCAGCTAAAATTAATTATTTATCTCAGTTAATGTTAATGATTGCGTTGTACCTTAATCTTCGAATTGGATCCCGCTTATTATTTTTTGCAGACTGTAAGAGCAATTTTATAAAAGTAAACTTGAACTTTCGATTATGTCAAATAGAATTTCCGATGCTGGAACTTCCAAAGGATCTACAAAACGAAAGTATGTTTCAATGTCCAACAAACAAAAAGTGGAATTGCTGCAAGAAATGGATAAAGACATGAAGAATGTGACAGAGAGGTTAGAGAAAACGAAAAAATTTCGATTGACAAGTTTGTCGGTATTCTTGGCACAGCAATTAACGGGACTTGAACAGCGGAACTTTGTAACTGAATAAGAAATTATGTCTGTTTATAGAATTAAAGAGAAAGTATTATCACATAAAACGAAGCAACTTAAACAACTTACATTGAAAGAAACGTTTAATAAAATAAACAAATAAATATTAAGCTTTTTTTTTTTTTTTTTTTTGTAAATTTTGATACTCTTTAGATCATAACTGTTCTTTATTTCATAAATTACGGTTTCATATTTTTAATTTTAGAATTTCTGCATGCCATCTTACGAGATTTAAACTGATGATCTATAATCCAGAAAAATCGATAATCTGGAATCGCCGAAGTCCCGACGAGTCCGGATTAACGACTTTTGACTGTATTACAGAAACTATATTTTCAACTTTTGAATTTCCACAAAAACAAAATGCAAAATCTTAAAAGCACACTAAGAAGAAACTTAACCATCATTTAAAAAGTCAACCACAGATTAAGGGCAGTGGTTAAACACAAAAAATTGTCCAGCAATCTTGGAGCTAACTTCTAATATCTGATTCAACAATGCTTAAATATTTCAAAGATATCTGAATAACATTATTTGTAACTTACATTTAGTTTATATCCCATAGATTCAAAATAAATAGAAGTTGCGGATATTCGCTTCTGATCATTCATGAAACCATGTGTTAAGCTGAAAACAGACACATAAGTTAGAAACTCAGGCTAACAAACCAAATATAATATTTAAAATGTATAAACTTCAGTAACCAAAGCCTCTGCCTAAATAGAAAAAGTTAAGCATGATTTTAAAAAACAGGATTTATTCAAAATTTATTATTTCAATTCTAAAATATATGTTTTTTTTTTTTTTTTTTTTTTTTTTTTTTTTTTTTTTTTTTTGCACATACTACTAAAAACATGAAATATTTCTCCACTGTAATGAAATTATACAATGACATGCAGCACATAATATGCAAAGAATTTGGAGCTTTGTCATGAACTCAGTAACAAGGTTAAAATTATTTGGAGAAGCAATATTAACTCAATAAATTTCCAAAAATTTTGGAAGTAAAATACATTTTATGAAATTTCCATTAGAATACCAAATTTACAAAACTTATTACAGGAAGAATGAAAACAACTACCTAACAAAAAAACAAAAAAAGGAAAAAGGCCAAACTAAAATATTAATATGCCTCTGGTCTTCAAAAATATAACAGCTTAAAATACAAGTGCAGTTTTTAGCTTGCAGTTTAATGATGATTTAAATTATGACACACTTAAAAGCAGAAGTTCTCTTTACAGAGTGAACTAATTACTCTCACACAAGCCCTCATATTTTATCACTACTTCAATGACAGCAAATGCTTTCATCTATCAGACTGTCAGATGAAGTCAAACCACACTATAACAAACTTTGAGAACCTGAAAGTTTGGTTTGTTATATTCGATTTGATCAGAAAAATGGGTTACATCATTAAAAAAACGAAAATTGACATATGAATAAAAATATATATATAAGAAGAAATGAATCGCAGTATTTTTAATCATCTTCACCATTTATTTATTAATATTATTATTATGTGTATTTATTAAATCTGTTTTCTGTTCAATTTTAGTTTCACCATACATTAATAATTTCACACAATAAATTACTCGGACAAACACAGAATTTAAACTCTTTCCTTGAAATACATATTTCCCTTTTACAAAACTCCAATGCAGGTTTAAAGTACAATGATTTAATACAAAACCCACCAAACAGAAGTCACAGCTTTAGCAGCATTTTAGACACTAAAACAAAACAAACCAGCAATGGTAACAAATGTCCATCCTCTAAAAAATGAATTACACGTACAGCCTCTTGCTTCTAAGAATTTATTCATTCTTTCCTCTTTTCCTGAAAAGCACAAATTGTAAATTTCCCTCACAGCACTAGTCTTGAATAGAATTGCAACTTATGCTCAGTCTTCCTTTTTGTTGGCTCTGGGAGTATAAAATACTTATACATGAGCTGGGTTCCCTCTTAACACATACGCAAGTGGATAACATGACAGTCATCAATGACATCGGTTTGCATATTTCCAAATGCTGCATTGCTTGTTGGGTAGGCTGTCTATTCAACAAAGTATTGGAACAGCAAAGCCTTTAGTATTTAAATGTTATATATAACAACAATTTTTGGTCAAACCATGCCTCCTGCCAAATATGAACTCAACTAATGCATAAGGCCCCTACAGTTGCATTCAATTACAAGGGTTTGTATGAATCTTGGTTAGTTATTGCAAAGAGAAAGGTGGAGCTAAAGTTTAGAGAAAAAAGAAGTATAAAATGATTTTTTCCCCTAATAGCCTAAACATGCATAATTTTAAGAATTAGTAATTTTTATATTAAAACTTACTTGTGAAAAATACAAAAACCAGTTTCAGTTGGTATCATACATGAAATTTATTTCATCCAATTTTCAAGCATTTGGAGGTTCATTAAAGCCACATAAAAATAACATTAAGCATTTAGGAAATTGGACAAGACAACAATGTTCATTCGTTTTAAATCAGATTCACTGTTGTGAGGTTTGAATGCAAAAAGAAACCTCAGTTTACAAATCTGATTCATTCCTGAACACCATTCAAAATGTTCCTAAACCAAAACTATTTTCTACACAGGAATTAATGGAAAACTGAATCCTGCAGTACAGAAATCGATCATTTAAAATTTACAACAGCACACTCTGCACAAGCTCATGACATGAAAATAATAGAAATCTTTAAATAAGACAAAAGTAAACATAATATTAAAAGAATAGATAAAGTACACAAAAATTCAATTTAGTTCTACCATACCCATACAAAGGAGAGTGGACAGCATAAATAGAAAATTATGAGGAAGAAAAAAGGAAGAAATGTTATTGTTAGGATGAGAAATCCCTATCATAAAAACATCAGGTAATCCTCTTTCATGGCTATTTTCTCTTATCTTTTCATGTCTCTTAGTTGACTTTACATGAAATTCACTGGGTCTCCCTTTCACCCATAATTTGTTAAATGTGATTACTTGTTGTCTATGTTTTAAAATGTTTTTAAAGTGAGAAATGGCACTGAAGTAACTAACCAAGATTCATTGAAAGCACATTGCTCTAGCTTGCTACTGTTTTATCAGTTTGTTAGTATTACATGACACTTTGCACCTCTCCTATTTTGTACAAATTTTGTGGATCAAAGAACTCAATAGCTTCATTTTTCTTCCTCTGATGAAATTTCCTTCACGATTGCCTTTTGTTGCTGCTTCTGAAGATGTTTCAGTTTCCTCTTGTTGAACTCATTTTTATAGTCCTCTATGTTTTAACAGCTCATTTCCAAGCCCGTGATTTTTCCTAAAGACACAATACCATAAATAACAACAAGAAAAAACAACAAAAAATTCTAGACATCAAAACTCTGTCTAAAATACAATCTGATAACAATTTCCTACATGCCAAATTCATAGTATAAGTTTAGGCTTACAATTTCCTGAGTACGAAAATTCCAGATCATGTGCATTTGCAGTAAAATACTGAAGATAATGAAAAGTAGAGTGTATACTTTATGAAATTATTTCTATTCAGAATACGATGTGGATGGCTGCAATTCTTGCTGTTGTTCTCTCTTGCATGATTTTTGTTAGATAATATTTTCCTTAGAAAGCATTTATTGAATCTTGTATGTTCATAAAAATCACTACATGAATATCAGGCATTCACTTTTTAAGTTTCAAAGCTCTTTCAGTATTGACCCCTGCAGTCAACTTCTTTCTTCTTTTAGTAATGTTGGAAAAATTTTTTACACCTCAGTAGGTGCATTTAGAGACAAAGCAGATTAATTAGATATACAAACAGTCTCATTTAAAAATCCCAGACAAAACCTCAAACATCTGATAATCTTATTTAAGTCACTTGCTACCAGGCTTTGTTAACGAGACCTACACAATAGAAATATTAAAATTATATTTCAAGAGGTCTTCAAGTGTGAATATAGCATGAAAGTTTACCTAAAACCATCTTTGAAAATTATTTGCTGCCAACTTGAGTGTTTGAAACTTGATACAATATCCATCCTCTAACATTTTTTGTTAGATAATCTGGCCATTTGTGATCAATGGTTTCACTGCATGTTTAAACCACACCACCAAATGAGAAACAATTATGAGATTTAATCTTCATATTTAGTTCTTATTTTCTACAACTACACATCAATACCAAGATTGTCATTCAGATACTCACTGTCCACCATCAGGTAAATCTAATCCCATGAGCCTGTCATGAGGATTCAAAAGAGCGGTATAAGCTGCAAAATTAGCAGGTGAACCAGAATATGGTTGAACATTGACACCCCACTTCTCAGGATCCAAAGAAAATGCCTCAAGAGCTCGCTTTTGGCACAAAAGTTCAATTTTGTCTATAACTTCAGTTCCACCATAATACCTATAAAATAATATGAAAATTTAAATAAAACATTCAACCTGCTACAAATAAAAAAATTTTCAGTCTTGCAAGTTAGATTTTTTGTTGTTTTAACTCCAAATATTTAAATCTTATATATAATAATAAAATATAATACGGCATTACCTAAGTCCAGGATAGCCTTCTGAATATTTGTTATTTAAGCAGGAACCTAATGCTTCCAAGCAGGCACGACTAGCGAAATTCTGTAGTACAAATGCAGTATGTAAATGTTTATGATTTTCTAAAAACCATTTAATATCTCTCAAGGCAAGTTAAAAAACTACAATTATTCTTGGGATAAAATTTGTATGTATATTGACTTACTTCAGAAGCAATGAGTTCAAGACCAGATGTCTGTCTATGTTTTTCTTCTTGAAGTAGCTTCCAAATTTCTGAGTCATCTTCACACAATGGCTCAGTACCTTTCCAAATACTACGAATATTGCTATAGTTCAAAAGGGATTTAGCTTTATTCCTAGCATGAAGAATATAAGATGTCTGAAAAATACAAAAGATAATCACAATATGCATTCTCTCACTGTATAATTATGCAAGAGAATAATTAATGAAAATATATAACATGTTTAAACATTGGTTAAATTTACATAATTCCAAAAGCTATAAGCAAATCAAAGATGCAAGGAAATTTTAAACATTAAAATAGCATATCATGCTTTATTGCAGTGCATAATATCTAATATAATGAGCAATTTTTATCTGGTTTAAACAGATTAATAATTGTCTGCATACAATAGCATGGAAAATTCACAATTTTAATCTTTTCACAAATTTCATGCAGCATTTCTTCAAAATATAACATAACAAACTATCCATGCTACTATTATAATTAATATTTTTCTTAAATAAAATTCGTATAATAAAAGGTGAATGAACTAAGGTAAGTCCTGATAATTTATTTTAAAACTATTTATTTACAGATTCAACTATCTGAATCATGACATAATTTTCCTCAATGATAAACAATTTGAGTTATGTTAAAAATACTGTACCTACTCACTAGATGCTGAATAGAGTAGAAAAAAATCACAAAGTAAAATGCTTGTTGAAATAGCTTTCTTCTCTAGGCCGCTTGACAAAACTTGACGCACTGGTCAAACTCGTTTGATTTATTTTATGCTCAAATTAATCATATAATTAACTTTGAACTAGCTCTATATCTAATTCTCTCTTATGTGATTCAAATATTGCAATTTATGTAAATGATACAGACAAAATTTCTTATAAGTCCAAAACATAATACCTCACTAGACTGTTTCAAAAATATTGAATCTTGTATGTTCATAAAAATAAAATTGGTATCCTCATCAAGTTCAGATTATGTCATATCTTGCAAATCATGAAGTCCATGATTAAAATAAATGTCACCAAATGTATTATTATAATGTTTAATAGGTCTTGTTACCAATATTTTACAATTGACTTGAAAAAATTATTAAAAAAATTTGGATATTGCATTAACTTCATGGTGGAATAAATACATTTTGGTAATATTTTTTATTCCTTTTTCAGGCAAAATTTCAGACATCAACATAATACTCTTTGTAGTTCTCTTCTGTTAACACTTCTGTTGTTCATCACATATTATAAATGAATTCTTCATTCTTTGATATGGCAGACGACCATATATATCAAGTTTTTATCCACATATAATTTTTTTTTTCTAAAAAAACTCTTTTAAATGTTTTCCTAACATATTAAATATGTTTAAAATGCAATATTTTGGATTAAAAATCTGAAGCAACTGGTGCTCCTGGAATCAGAGATAATAAAAATTACACTTATTGAAAATGTGGCTGTATAAACTGATAAGGTTCTTGAGACCTTATGAAAAGCAGGTCTCAAGAAACCAATTCAGTTTATACAGCCAATATTTTATTTTCTTCAAAAATATTTCTCTTTTTCAAAAGCATTTACTGAAGTTCTTAAAATTTTGTTTTCAGTTCATCACTAATTAAAAAAGTATCACATTGTAGCAACAATTAATACAGACTCAAAAATTTCACTTCATGAAAGTAAGACGTTATCTGATGATGACAATGGCACCTTAGCATACAGAAGTTTTGTCATTCACACACTAAAATGCTAAATTGTTCGTGCATGGAATCATCTGCTTTGACAGAGATAAGAAAATGCCATTAAAATCTTTAAGAATTTCTTTACTAATTCAGAAGTCAAACAACAAAAATCAGCGTTATACCTACAAAATTTTCACAGGACTAGTTTCGATGGTTTTACCGAACCATCATCTTCAGCTGCAAAACCGCAAATGAACAAGATAGGAAATAATGATTAGATAAGATAAGAAAGCCTGGACAAGAATAAGCAAGTGGCGCCATCTGTTGGCGAAACCAGAACTAAAACATAATTTCTCTAAAAGCCGAAGGCAAATTTGGATTGGAATTAGGATCGTTAACTAGAACAGAAAGATTTTTATGAATGTGAAATGCCTCTAGAAAATCCAGTTCTCCAATGGAAGATTTTTTTTTGAATAATTTTGGCAGCAGAAAAATTGAAAGTGTGATTTTCGGACCAACAATGTTGAGCAACAGAAGACCTCTGTGTTTCCTTTTTTCTAACATATGCCTCATGTTCTTTGACGCAAAATTTTAAGGCTCTCTTAGTTTGGCCAATGTAAATTAAACCACACTGGCAAGGAATCCTATAAATACCCCAGGAATTCATATCCGGAATGGGGTCCTTGAGTATAGAAGTTGGAATTTTATTGATGGGAGAAAAAACAACCCGAAAGTTAAATTTCTGCAAAATATGTGCAACTTTATAGCTAATTGATGGAAAGAAGGGAATGACAACAGAATTTTTATAATCTCCTAAAATAAGAGTGTGGCTTTTAGTGTGTTGAGATGAGAATTTTTTAACTGCTTGATTAATAATGTTGGGTGAAAAGCCCCTGTCAATAGCTATTGCTTTTAAATAATTTAGTTCTTCATCAAGGGCTAGTTTGGAGGAGCAAACTTGAAGAGCACGGAAAACATAGGAATAAAATGAAGCTAACTTTTGTTTAGTCGGATGACATGATTTAAAGTGTGGTGGAAGGCAAACCAATGAAGGTTTCCGGTAAACTGTAGTACTGAAGTTGGATGTGTTACGTGTGACCAGAATGTCGAGAAACGGAAGAGAATTGCAAGTCTCAGGTTCAAAAGTGAACTGAATAGCAGGATCAATAGAATTCATTGTTGAAAGAACTTTATTTAAATCATCTTTATTACCTTCAAACAGGGTAAAAGTATCGTCTACGTAGCGGAACCATGCCGGGAAGTTTAAAGTTTCAAACAATTTTGATTCATAATAATGCATGTAGATATCAGCCAGGATGGGACTGAGGGGACTTCGCATGGCTAATCCCTCAGTTTGCTTGTAATATTTATTTTGGAAAACAAAATGTGTTTGTTTCAAACAGAGTTGAGTGAGAGAAATTAGCTCATCAATTTCGATGCAAGAGAAATGAAATTCGCGAAGTCTGGTTTCTAGACATCTTAATGCACCCTCCACTGGGACATTGGTGAATAATGATTTTACATCAAAAGAAACCATGAGTAAATTACTAGGAGAAATATTTTTAACCTTTTTTACAAACTCTATTGAATTTTTTTATGGTGTAAATGTTATTGTCTAATAGAGTGGAAAATCTAGAAACTAAATATTTAGCTAAAGGATATGAGGCAGTACCTAAATTTGATACAATAGGGCGGAAAGGAATACCACTTTTATGAATTTTGGGAAGAGCATATAATCTGGCACAATTTGCAACAGATGGGATAAGCGAATGTTTTAAGTTGCTTGAAATGATTTGCGAAGATTTGATAAATAAAAATAAATAAAATAAATAAAAACTGCGATCAGTCCCATCCTCAGTCCCATCCTGGCTGATATCTACATGCATTATTATGAATCAAAATTGTTTGAAACTTTAAACTTCCCGGCATGGTTCCGCTACGTAGACGATACTTTTACCCTGTTTGAAGGTAATAAAGATGATTTAAATAAAGTTCTTTCAACAATGAAATTGATCCTGCTATTCAGTTCACTTTTGAACTTGAGACTTGCAATTCTCTTCCGTTTCTCAACATTCTGGTCACACATAACACATCCAACTTCAGTACTACAGTTTACCGTAAACCTTCATCGGTTTGCCTTCCACTACACTTTAAATCATGTCATCCGACTAAACAAAAGTTAGCTTCATTTTATTCCTATGTTTTCCGTGCTCTTCAAGTTTGCTCCTCCAAACTAGCCCTTGATGAAGAACTAAATTATTTAAAAGCAATAGCTATTGACAGGGGCTTTTCACCCAACATTATTAATCAAGCAGTTAAAAAATTCTCATCTCAACACACTCTTATTTTAAATTTATTATTCTTATTTAAAAGCCACACTCTTATTTTAGGAGATTATAAAAATTCTGTTGTCATTCCCTTCTTTCCATCAATTAGCTATAAAGTTGCACATATTTTGCAGAAATTTAACTTTCGGGTTGTTTTTTCTCCCATCAATAAAATTCCAACTTCTATACTCAAGGACCCCATTCCGGATATGAATTCCTGGGGTATTTATAGGATTCCTTGCCAGTGTGGTTTAATTTACATTGGCCAAACTAAGAGAGCCTTAAAATTTTGCGTCAAAGAACATGAGGCATATGTTAGAAAAAAGGAAACACAGAGGTCTTCTGTTGCTCAACATTGTTGGTCCGAAAATCACTTTCAATTTTTCTGCTGCCAAAATTATTCAAAAAACATCTTCCATTGGAGAACTGGATTTTCTAGAGGCATTTCACATTCATAAAAATCTTTCTGTTCTAGTTAACGATCCTAATTCCATTCCAAATTTGCCTTCGGCTTTTAGAGAAATTATGTTTTAGTTCTGGTTTCGCCAACAGATGGCGCCACTTGCTTATTCTTGTCCAGGCTTTCTTATCTTATCTAAACATTATTTCCTATCTTGTTCATTTGTGGTTTTGCAGCTGAAGATGATAGTTCGGTAAAACCATCGAAACTAGTCCTGTGAAAATTTTGTAGGTATAACGCTGATTTTTGTTGTTTGACTTCTGAATTAGTATTTATTCGGCGTGTTATTGTGTCTTAATTTCTTTACTATTTTCAATAAAAAAGTTTATCTTTCAAAAAAAAAAAAAAATTATACAAATCCTAGGAATCAAGCATTCAGCACATTGCTAGCCCCCACCAAAAAAATCACTAAGCCATTTGTGTAATATTTATACCCATAAATATATTTACGGGTGTCCCTTGGTGAAAACTGGTGATTTTTGGCAGTACATGGACACCGAGTTTGTGGTACTCTGACTTGCAAAAATCGCCACTACACAAGGGCAAAATAACATGTCAAAGAATTGCACAAACTCGGTTTCCATGTACACATTCACCTATTTTCCCTTCAAAAAAAAAAAAAAATCGGAGACTTGCACAAACTTGCCATTTCGCACTCCCTTGACTTTGTCTATG